CCCTAGGCCATCCTCCATGCTGGTGGTAGGTGTGGCCACCCTATATTTTCTCAGGCACCCGCAAGAACACCACACACACACACACACACACACACACACAGGGCACAGCTCCCCTCTCTTGGTCGATCCATACAAATCAGCTGAGAAGATTCCTCTGGTGGCCAGAGAGTACACTATTTGCATCTCTGTCAGGGTCTGGGCTCTACTGAACCCAGTATCCTGTCTATTCCCCCTCACCCATTTTGTCATCATTACCGAAACTGGTGGGATCTTTGGGGGTGAGGGGGAACCAGGACTTCAGTCTGAAAATTAGCTTCCTCTGCTCTCTTTCATACATTCATGAAATAAGAGCAACCGGATAAAACTGAATTCTGTATATTTGTTCATAACAAATCTCGTAAAGGATCATTTTCAAAAATAAAGCATTGATACATTTTACCTGTGGCTTTGCACCACCATGATCTATGCCCGTTCTAAATGATTAATAATAAAAAGCTCCTACTAATTTCAATTACCTTTACTAATTTACAGTGCAACCATCATAGCAATGCCTTATTAGCACTGACTTTGAATAAAAATCCATTACGTTAGCAAAGAGCCAGAAAGTCTTATTGTACCACTGCAAGCGGAAAGGAGAAGATAGGAATTTCTGGATAAATAGCATTTCCAGTTATGTTCGACAGATGTATGTTTATCCATGAAGCACAACTGTAGGAAAATAAATCCAGGAAGGAAGACTAAAAACAGCATGCAAAATCCATATTGTTCTATCACTAAGATCTTCAGTAAAACAACATTCATAGCCAATACAGCAGGGGTGGGAAATGTGTGGCACTCCAGATGTTTCTCCAACTCACATCAGCCCCAGCCAGAATGGCCAATTGTCAGTGAAGATGGGCCAGCAACACCTGGAATACACACAGGTTCCCCATTCTGGCAAAACATGATCAGAACCATTGGATCTTATTGTGACAATGATATTGTTTATCCCAAAACTTTGTTGTGGAGTCCAATTGCCTCCCCTATATTGGACAGAAGTGCTTAGCTTTTCTTCTTCTTTTTTAAGTACTCTAAAGGTGCATAACCCTTTGGATTGCTTCCCTGATATACAACTTAAAAATAGTTCTAAGGATTCATCTCTTCAAAGCTGCCCTTTATCATCTGGAACAAAGCACTGTAATCTTATCTTTGCAACCTGCCACAATCACAGGTTTTCCAGATAAGTGGTCTAGTAATAGGCAACAAAATACCTACTTGATCTGAGCCTAAGATCACCAGTTGCTGCTAGATGAAAGTTACTGGTTTTTCTCTTCTGCAACTTGTTTTATTTTAATCTTAGACTAAATTAATACATATCTCATACAACAAACTACAGCAAATAAAAAAGGCTGAATATGATAGTTATACTTGTCCCAAAACATCACTAAAAAAGCCTTCTCATTTATTCAGAAATCTGTTCGACATATTTAGTTGCACTCTCCTATAGTACAGCGTACAGGGCTCCGGAATGGATCCCGGACGCTCAGTGAGGTACAACTGTATGTTAATTTGACCACAGTGACAATAGACCAAGTTTTTTCAATCCATTCCAAACAAGCAGGGGCTATACTCTTCTTCTAAGGGTTCTCTATAACTTGGAAGGAAGCTTCTGTATCAACGGTACTCTATCCAATTGAATATAATTTGACAGGTGCTCTTCCAATGATGTCACAAAACTATCTATCCTGATCCCCTCTAGAGGCCCTCATAATTGCAAATTATTCTTTCTTAGTTCATGGGTTATTTCCTCATACTTAGCTGTATTCATTTCTACATCTATCTCCAACACTCTATTCCTTGTTTATGATTCTCTAGGTATATTTTCTAATTCTGTTTGTGCTTTTTCCATATTTGCCATTTTATTAATGTATGTTTCCATTCTATTATCTATTCCACCTTTTTCTCCCACCCTAAAGTTTTATTAGCCATCACTTCTAATTGTTCTTATATTTTAATATCCTGATTTCCCTTTTTTAATCCAATTCAGACATAAAAACATTCTGAGTTTTATCTTTAACAGCAATCCAAATTTCTAATTTTCTGTCCTTTAAATTTTGTCCTTGTTACGGAAATTACGGGGGGGGGCACATCTTTAAAGTTAAATCTTACAAATATTATGCCTGAATATATCCTTCCAACTTGACAGCTCAGGGAAGTCACCTAGCTTTAAAAATAATATAAAATCATCTCCTTTCCCAGTTTCCTCCATTCCAAAGCTATTTTCCCCTTGCAAAAGGACTCCAGGAAGTTCTCAGAGGTGACAATTGCTGGGCTCATTGTTAGCCAAAGGAAGCCAAATCTCATCACCTGACTCGCCTCAGGCTCCAGACATGCAAAGGAACTTCTATTGTACTTTTGGGTGGTGGGCACTTAAGACATATTTGTCTATGCTAATCTTATACCTGAGTCTTGCCCTGCCATGTCTGCTTATGCTAATCTTGTACCAAGGACTTGTCTGAACATGTTTGCCAAGGTTAACCGCTCCCCTTCGAACTGTATTCTGGGATGTGGTGGGAAAGTTTTAAAAGTCTTTGTCACCCCATCCTCGGGGTTCAAAATTTGCTCTTTGAACCTATTGCGCAATAAACTTTGGTCTACAGCTATTTGGCTGGACTCCTTCCTTTATTCTGCAGGGACCCGCGGGCTCTGCCCGAAGAGCTGGGTGACTGAGCAGCCTCACACCTAGATTTTTCCTTAACAGTCCTTCTTATACTCTTTCTTCCAAAAGGGTCACTTCTTTTGTGTACAACTTATGATTATTGTCTATTGTGACCCCATTTGTCTCTGGTGACCCCATTTGGACCTTCTCTTTCTTTCCCTTTAGCTTTCCAAGGACCTATATTCTGTTATTTTAATTAGTTTTCCCTGATACTCCATTCACATTTAGGGGCTTCATACATATCATATATGTGTGTGTTATTATTGTAAGCACTTTTCTCTTATAAAGCAGGTATATTTTTCTTATTAGGACACTTTTACCCTCAGTACTTATCTCTACCTTATGCTTGAACTTTTGCTACCACTATCTCAATTAATTCTCAAATATCTCATAGTCATTAAATTTTCTGCATCATATGCATTTATTAGATAGTTCATCCTTCAAATCCACCCACCATCCATTTCAGTTCAATCCAATTATAATTTGTATCCCCATCAACATAATTTATTCCAATCATAGTTCTTACAAGTCATTACATTGCCAAAATTCATTAGGTAAATCAACTTATGTATTTCTTCAATAATCACGATTTAATTCTTCCCTTGATTCAGTTTTGAATTAGTTTCACGGTAATTGGTTCAGTTGCCAAATTAAGCCAAGCAATCCTGCCTGTGTGTTCTTATCATAAACATATTACTATATATGGCTCAACTCATTTAGCTACCTAGTGCTCAAACTGTGTTTCAATTTGTCTTTTTTCTTAATTTTCCTTACAGAGTGCAGCTGCTCCTTCCATCCTCTTAGCTTAGCCGAGTCACTACTTTGCTGCTTGCCAAAGGGGCCTGCCAAAGTTCCTCTAGTGGTGGCAACAGAGGTCTCTGCACCTTGGGGGCTCCTCAAGTTTTATAGGCGGGGTCCTGATATATCTTGCCCACATTTGGGTCAAAATCTCGCTCCTCGTCCCTCAAATTTGTGGAATCAGGAGACTTCCACAGTGGCAGAAGAGTACTCACAGTGATTGGGCAGGAGTTGCTGGTGTGAACCTAGTTGTCCTCCCTTTCACTCCATTCCCAGCTTCTCCTGGCAGCTGTTCAGCTGTTTATATGCCCACCAGGTCTCAGTGTATCTCGCCTATGTCTTGTTCAAAACCTCAGCCCTCCTCCCTCAGGCCTCTTCCACAATTTATTAATTCATTGGCAACTGCTTAAGATGAGGGCTTAAGGTGTGGTGACACTGATATTTATCAATTATTTTCAACTGAATGTAATGGAAACCCACTCTCTCAGGTTCGTAATTATAATGTTAATCTACTAGTAAATATTTGTGTTCTTCATTTTTCACATAAGATGCTTTTGTTGGTCTAAGTAGTAAAATAAAATGCTTCATTCTGGTTTACTTTGTTTCATTTCTGCTTCTATTTAAAATTCTGAGCAGAATCTGCTCCTACTCACCTGCCCCATCCATTGCTCGTGAATCACTGGGCCCTGCGTTAGTTTGCTGAAACGTGAAGACAGGGACCTGGAGGTCTCCATCTGTTGGTGGTAATTCTATCCATGCAAATGTATAAAAATGGACAGCACACAAGAGAAGCCATTAAAGTAGACAGATAGTCCCAGGTTGGAGACTTATGTTCAGAAGAAGACAGAGGAGAACTCTCCCCACTAGGAATAAGTCCTATATGCTTTCCTCCAGTATGGAGGAAAAACCAGAGTGAATACTTTGATTCTAAGAATGTTGTAGTCAAAAGACCAGAGAAAGACTAGGGCAGGCAAATCCTGATAGACAGCAATGAAAGGTAGGGCTGCTTAAACAGGAATTTAGCAGCACCTGTACTTTATGGTGCAGATTTGGTAATGCAGGCTGTGTACGCACCATACACTGAAAGCACATTCCTCCTCTCAAATAAACCTGGAAGCTGTAGTTTACGTCTTACAATTCACAGCATCCTTAACAAAATTCACTTCCCCGAGTTTGAGGGGATACTTTTGATGTGCTTTAAATGTATGGTTCGTATGCAGCCCAGTCAAGTGTTGTAACGATGATCAAGTGCTGGGCTGCTGCTATACAGATTTTCTAAACATCTGGTGCTAAGATAGAATCATGTCTTTCCAGACACTCAGAGCCAAAACTGACTTGTGAGATGAGGGATCTGTGATCAAGTCTCCTAAAGGTTAAAAAGCAAAACATAAAAAGTAGCCACCAATGACTAATTTTGATCAAAGAAATGGCACTAGGAAACAGAATTTATTTATTTTTTCCCCAGGCAATTTTCCAGATCTAAACACTCCTCTATGTATATGTGTGTGTGTGTGTGTGTGTGTGTCTGTGTGTGTGTGTGTGTGTGTCGTGTGTCTGTGTGTATACACACATACATACATACATACATACACCCCCCCCCAAAAGCTACTATTCTGGGAGCAGAAAACAATGGCATGTATTAAAATTCACTTGGTAAGTATTTCTAAATTCTTCCACTCCCTTGACTTTGCCAGGCCACCCTGGTAACCTTCCATCATGATGTGAGTCCTTCCTGTAGTGGCTTTGTAGAAAGTAGCCACATTTGCATAAGACAAGAACTTTAGCTTAGTAAACCATATCATGCATGAACTGTGTACTAATGCACGTTGTGCTACTGCTACAGCTCTGCTCCTCCCATGGTCTGAACTGGTAAAACAAGACAGGAAGAAGATATCTTAGCATTGCTTCTGAACACAGAGTTGCTATTTGTTTTGCCCTAACAAACCAACATGTGTAAACCAACAACAAGCCATAGTTTAAGGCTGGCTAATGAGCCTGGCTTGCTAGAGAGAAGCAAAACATGATCACAGGTTGAGATGTAACAGTCAGGGCTCCTCCAGACATTCTATTTACTGAGCCTTCATCTGCATTTGCTTGCACAAAGCTTACATGGAAGATAGATTATATCCTGCCTTGTTGAGCATTTGTTTCTATTTGTTTGTGGAGCCATTATATGACAACAAGCGTTCATCCTGCTTTGCTTGTCTAGTGTCCCATTAATCATTCACTCATCCCACACTTTTCAATATATTTCCCAGTCCCTTTCCAAACCACAAGAAGTCTGATCTTTTCTTAAAGTAGATTTGTTATATTAAGGCGACAGAGTGCTTTAATCCACTTGAATTGTACAAACCTAAATTTACAGTATGCACTTGACTCTTATGCTATCCCCTTCCTGGTTTGCTTACCTGCTCGTGCCAGGGGAGGAGCAGAGTGGAAGTGATTGCTTATTAAAGCAAGAAGTCTATTGACTCTTAACCCCAAGTTAAAAATTAGCACACCAAGAAGAGATTGACAAATTTCCTTAAGGTTTCACAGAACTTGAGAATCAAATTACGTTTTAAAAAAGGATAATAACTATAAATGGCACTGTAAAGTGCTTTACAGAATGATCTAATTAGGATGATTATTGTTGCCACTTACAGTGGTACCTTGGTTCTCAAACAGCTTGACTCCCGAACAAATCAGCTCCCAAACACGGCAAACCCGGAAGTAAGTGTTCTGGTTTGCGAACGTTATTCGGAAGCCGAACATCCGACATGGCTTCCGCTTGACTGCAGGAAGCTCCTGCAGCCAATCAGAAGCAGTGCCTTGGTTTTTGAACAGTTTCATGAGTCGAACGGACTCCCGGAATGGATTAAGTTCAAGAACCAAGCTACCATTGTACTATAAAAACATTCCTTGTAACCTCATAGGTAAACAGTTGAATTTCATGAAATTTTGGTGACAGTCTAGCAGCCTTTGGAGGATTTGTTTTAAAGTGAAAGAATCCATCGCCAATGAAAATGAGTAGGCCATCAGCAAAACCTATCTGTGACTTCACTGTCTCCACACCATGCGTAGTTTAGTCCTAAAAACCCGAAACCCTTTCATCAGTTCCAGAGCAAGGTGTTGGATCCAGATTAGCTGAATTGAATCTCATAGAAATTAATGAGGCTAGTTTTCTTAATTTCCATGGGAACTAAATGCAACTAACTTTACCTTGATCCCAATCATAAAGTTCAGGCTTTCCCCACAAATCTCAATCCTTAACAAATGTATCCCAGTATACAATGTTGTTGTAGGTAAGTCAGTCCCTGCACGTTCTGAAGAGTAGCTGTCAAGAATTGGGCCATTTATCTACCAAAGGCCAGTTATTGCTGAGGAACATCCAAGCAGTGTTAATCGATCAGAGATCCCATTACCCAAGACTCACCAGGTTAAGTATAGCAGAGTCAATGAATTTTTCAATCAAGAGATTTTGGGCAACTAGACTTACGTTATACACTCATGACATAAGCCTGAATTCCAAGGCCCTTGCCTTATTGATGAGCAATCGAGATTAAATGTCAGAGACACCTGAATTTAAATCATAGTTCAGAAGATAAAAGTTTTAATCGCTTATCCTGATGGGATAAAGGTTTTTCCAGAGATAGCAAAAATAAGTGCACAGCACATCTGGCCTATGACAGAATTATAACTTTGACAGAATGCTGCTGTGCAGAGAAAGTGCCTCATCTCTATAAAATATACTTTTCATTTTTAAAAAGAGCTAAGTAGGACAATCAAGCATATGAAATGTTCTATAGAAATAAGAAGATTTGATAGATAAACCACAGAGAGTCTGCTCAGCCAAAATCCAGCGCGGCTCAGAGATAATACAAGGAGGAAGTTACAATAGGGGAGATGACGACAAATATTAGATAAATTGAAATTTAGGATGATCAGTTACCGTAATTCAAGGTATCTTAATTCAAAAGCCTTTGTGTACTATGCTATGGATACATGTGCTGTGGAGTGGGGGAGTTGTTTTTTAAAATAAAAGTAAGTCATAATTTACAAGCTTTCTAAGTGACTGGAAAAAATGGTGACATTTCTTTGAAGATTGACTTAAAAAATTATCATGCTATCCTTCCAGAATTCCTGCTGTTGTCTCTTGCCATATCTGCAAATCCCACCCTGGGGCCTTCTTTTTAAAAGTCTTTATCAAGCCTTTATAGCATCTGAGTAAATCTCACACACCAAGTATTGTGTCCAGGCTCTGGGCATATCAATAAAATCCATGTCACCTCAGCATATCAGTATTGCTACATGTTAATTATACCTTCCCTGCAAAAACCAATTATCACTCACCATAATCGTATTAGTGCATTACTGGGGTGGGGTAGGGAATACAAACATATGGCCCACAACTTCTGCACCAACAGAACAGAACAAATAGGACATCCAGCTTCCCAAGACAAAAGACTTCCCTTCTCCACAGGAGTTTTGAGTTAAGCTCAGGCAACAGTATGAGCCATTCAATTTCTGAATCCAACAGGAAAAAATCTATAAATAAGAAGTAGCATCATAATATAAAATATACCCTATTGTTTAATAATGACCTCAGTTTACGTAACTAAATCACCAGATCTGAACTATCTGTGGTGCACAGACTGCAATTAACTCACACCCTCATTTATCAGCCAGTGAAGTTAGATTTGCAAATGTGCTGTCCAGATGTTAATGCAAGGCACCTACATTAAAAAAAACTGATAAAAAATGAACTTCTAACATATTGGTTGGAAAAATATTGCTCACTTGGTACAATGTGTTTAACACAAAGGTAAGCATTCTGAACTGAGCATTTATTTCCTCCCAACAGCCATTTTAGCCTCATAAATATCCTGTGAGGCACATCACCCAAGAGCCTCATTTAAGTATATTGTATTTAATTATGGGGTATCAAGAGTTTTTAGGGGGTTAACCAGGCTGGGATAGCTGGGGTAGCAGGCTTGTTGGTTTTTGAATGTCTGATGTAGATTTTTTTCAATTTCGTTGTTCTGTATGGGACTATGACAATAAAGATTATCGTATCGTAAACCAACACCACCCAGAGAGTTTCAGAGTGGAGCAGGCATTTTGTACCTGTAATCCTGAAAACACAGGGATTTTAAACCCATGGTTCCTGAACTGTGATGGAGTTGCTAGACCAGAATGCTTATGAGCCCAAGCCTGAGGCAGACAAGATGGCTCCCCCTCTCCATGCCACATACAGAAGATGACTGGACTGGCAATTGGATTCTGTGGACAGAATCGTGTTCTCCAGCAGCTGGAGGGAAGCTGGTAAGCTTAAGGGCCATATTGCACACATTTATTCAAAGGAAGAGAATGGCTTGGGGGCCCACTGCCTCCAGTCTCTGCTTCTTGAGGTGGTTGTCTCACTATGCCCAATGGCTTGGGCCAGGCCTGCTCCAAAAGCTCAGACCCCAAGATACAGTAAACAGAGTGTTGTACCCAGTGGTTGCCCTTCCCCTGGAGAAAGATAGACATTGGATAATATCCAGTCTGAAAGCTAAGGCATGTTATGTAGTGGAACCAGAGGGTGGAGACTGGGAGAAGGGAGCAGAGTGGCACTGGCCAATCAGAAAAACATCCTGACTGCGCTTGGTGCCCTGATGAACATAGAGGAAGCATAGAGTGAATGGCAAAGCCCATCTCCTCAACTCGAGATTTTACTCGGGAGCAGAGGCAGTCTTGGGTTTGTGTGACCTGTTTGGCTGCACTGGGTGCTGGCACCACAGGGGGCACCACAACAATGGTACTGAATGGAGCACAAGAGGCAGGGGTGCCAATTGTAAAGTCACACAGGGTACCATGGAAATTTGAGAGCCCAAAATCCGCCACCACCTGGAGATTCCAAGAATGTGTCTAAACCCCGAAACTTCAAGCCAGTTCCTGAGATCTGGAAAACTTAATGTTAAACTAACCTTCCTTTTAATTTACATCAAAGGCATTTGGAATACATAACATTCGTTTGCCCAGACACCCTTAAAAACAGCTGCCATTTGCATCCTCACCAACTTCTAGCCCAGAGCCACATGCCCTTAATATGCTCTCAGCATAACTAGGCACATTTTGAGAGAGAGGCAATTCTGTAGCTCCATAGGATCAAGATCACATGGGACCATTTGGACCTATCAGGGAGGGGAACCTGTGGCCCTCCAGATGTTATTGTATTGCTACTCCAATTGCCCACAACCACTGGCAATGCTGACTGGGACTGAGTTGGAGTTCAACAACATCTGAAAGGCCACAGGTTCCCTCACCTTTGCTTTTATATAGATGAATATGCATCTTATTAAGAATGTTATCAATAAGAACAGAACATTTCCAAATAAATGGACCTGCAACATTTCACATTCTGGCCACCCTTTTCCAAGCATCAGAATACAGTAGGTGCATTATATCATACAGTCCAATATCCTCATCTCTCCAAAGGAAAGAATGTGGAGGTTATTAGACAATTACTTAGGCAGACATAATTGGCTTATTCCAGCTGAAGATCTGGCTCCTGACTCTACACAGCTTTGAGATATTAAAAAATAATGTAAAACAAAAAAAGATTAGCACGA